AGTAAAATAAAACGAACTAGCCACGCTTTAAAAGAATCCATTTCAGAGGGTGAACTGACCTATGCTTAAGCATAACCTGGGAACTTCTTAGAAACGCAGGACCTCGGACCCCGTCGCAGGCCCTCGGAGCTGGGAAGGGTTTGTGGCGGTTGGGGCGGAGGGTGGGCTTGGGAGTTGGTTGGGGGGGAACCGTGTTCTTATAAGCCCCGCCGTTGGTGCACGTTAACGTTTGAGAACCAGGGCACCAACGTTCGTTATTTGGAGGATCCCAGAAAGGCGAGCAGGAGGGTGTGTAGCCGACCTCAGCCCTCAGCAGGGGCAGGGCTATTGGAGCCAGACACCAACAAACAAACGGACGGGAGGAGCGGCCAGGTTGCAACACAGAGGAAACCCTAACGCGGCCCCTGGGACCTGCAGGGACGGCGCATCCAGGCGGGAGCGGCGGGCCGGGAGGCGCCGGCAGGGGGCGCTGCGGCGCAGCGGGCACGGGGGCGGGGTCAGCGCCGCGCTCTTAGGCTCGGGCGGGCGCCGCGTGGGGCTGGTACCTCGGGACAGCTCGGCGGCCGCCACTTACCCGTCGGGTCGCGTCCAGAAGCGGGTGAGTGAGTCCCTTGAACCTTTCCGGCTGGTCGCCGGCTCCCAGACCTCGGGCCGCCGCGGGGGTACGAGCCAAAGAGCCGGCGCGGGGACCGGGCGGCGGAGCTCCGTGCGCCTCCGCGGGGCGCGCTGCGCTGCCTGCCGGCGGCTCCCCGCGCTGCACAGCGCTCCGCTGTGCGCGGTCCAGGGGCTGGGAGCCAGGCGCTCACAAGGAGAGCCTTTTCGCTGGGGGATCGGGGAGAAATGATGGGCTATGAAGTTTTGCTTAGGTTGGGTTCTGATGGCAAGTAAGTTTGCCAACTTGGCGGAACCGCCGTGGGTTTGCACCGCCTTGATGAATGGTGGGTGCATAGTGCTTAAAATCAATCGCGCGCGGCTGGTCTTCACGTTTCCTAGTAACAGGAAGTTTTTAAGTCCTTGGCACAGGAGTCCTGCTCTTTCGGGACCAGGATCCCTCCACACAGTCAATCAAGGCTTTATTTAGTTTTGTCCTGGGTCAAATGCTCTGAAAGGGGATTGTAGGGATAAAATAGATACTAACACTTCCAGATGTCTTACTCTGTTTTTTTTTTAATTTAAATATATATAAATTAAAAAAAAAAAAAAATATATATATATATATATATATATCAACACCCTGACATTTAATAAGAAGTCATTCATATAACACAGGGCAGAGGCAGTACTTGAGAAAAGCAGCCCAGTGAAGAAAAACATCTCAGTAGTTAAATTGTGGTAACAAAAGTGTCCGCTGAAAGTATCAGTTTGGAATTGCAAAGCAACCCACAATGTATCCCAGTCATTGAGTTTCTTCAAATTCTAAACTCTTGGACATAAACATGAGTCAGTTGGGCTATGTCAATATTTAGCAGGAACATGAGGTCAGCGGTCCTGTTACAGCAAAATGGAACAGTCACATCAAGAAATAAGCTCTGCTTTTTTACTGGGGATGGAAGAGAACTTTGGGTCCAATTCTGGAATTGCTAATATCTGAACGCTGTGCTGTTTCCTGTATTTATTTATTTGTTTGTTTGTTTTCATGAGAAGATTTCACTGTGGAATTTAAGTTATATATTTGGTTGATGTCTGATGGAAGCCACCATGGTTTAGCCGACTGACATTTTATGTTCTTGGCTTCTGGGCACAAAGTTGACTGTGGGCCACACAGTCAACAGGCTGCCTCACTCGCTGCCCTGGGCTTTTCCTTGGCTTTGCTCTTCAGCGTGGTCTGGCTACCATGTACATAAAATGGCTGTATACTTCTCTGTTCCTCCCCTCTCCCTCCCCATCAGGGTCAGGGCCAGCAGACCTCCTGCCTCACCCTCCCTTGCCCCCCCAACCCCAAAGCCTGACCCAGTTGGGGGGGTGGGACCTCCCCCCCCCCCCATGCAAGCTTGGCCCTGATTGGCTCCTCCCCACCCCATCAAGGTAGGGGCCTGCCGGACAACCTCCCTCACCCCCACCCTCTGCTGGCCCAGCTCAATTGGCCCCCATCAGGGTGGCCCTGCCGGACGCCACCTGTGCACGACCTTGTGCACTGGGCCCCTGGTTCTAGTTATAATGTTAGCTAAATCACCAATGATTTGGAGTTAATACTACTTAAGGAAAAGTACCGTAAGCTCCTCCCACGCATGCATAAAGTCTCCTTTCTCTTTCCCTCCTCAGTGTCCATCACGCAGTTGAGCTCATGAATACCATACTAGATGACTGGCGTATGTTTTACTCAGAGCTCTTCCAAATGCCAGTGCTATACTAGTAAACCCGAGTCAAACCACCAAGCAAAAGAAAGGGACTGTATTAGCTTGTGTAACTGGAAACTTCAGTATCTTGTCTCAGGGAATCGAAATACCTAAAATATATCACTGGAACTCTTCTGTGTCCCCGTTCTTCGCTTGTGCTTCTGTGTCTGGGCTATCTTCCATCCTACTGAAGGCATCTTCCTCTTCACAGCATGTGGAAGGAAGTGTGGTAGGTTCCATCATCCCAACTTAAAATGTCAGGCATGTCCTCTTTATCTCCCACTTCCATGTATAAATCTCAAAGAAGGATTCTGACTGGCTCGGCAGAGCTTGTATGCCATCCCTAAACCAATCAATGTGGCCAGAGGAACGGAGAACTGTGAATAGCCCAGACGGAGTCATATGCCCGCTTCTATGGCCAAAGGAAGAGCATTGCTCCAAATGGAGGAAATTTTTTTTATGTAATTCTTTTTTTTTAATATATTTTATTAATTTTTTTACAGAGAGGAAGCAAGAAGGATTAGAGAGTTAGAAACTGCGATCAGCTGCCTCCTGCACACCTCCTGCTGGAGATGCGCCCACAACTGAGGTACATGCCCTTGACCAGAATCAACCCTGGGACCTCTCAGTCTGCAGGCCGATGCTCTGTCCACTGAGCTAAACTGGTTAGGGCTATATCATTCTTTTAAAATGGGCTTTTTCCAGCCAGCATCAAACATGGGCATCTCTAGGGTCTTGTAGCTGGCACAGATGCTATAAGACTGGAGGCAAGAAAGAGGCCTACGACAAGAAGTAAAAATATGAACTGGGACGCCAACGCTAAGATTGAACTCCACTCCATACGCACAGTCCATGTGCCGGGACGCAATAAGAAGTACAAAGCCTTGAGGCTGGACGTGGGCAACTTCTGGGGCTCAGAGTGCTGGACTCACAAAGCAGGGATTTTTGATGTCCACAATGCATCCAGCATTGTGGACATCAATAATGAACTGGGAAGGACCCTAGTGAAGAACTGCATCGAGCTCATGACAGCTCACCGTACTGACAGTGCTGTGAATCCCACCAGACACTGCCCTTGGGCCACACGAAGGGGCCACGCTGACTATTGAGGAGGAAGAGATTAAAAAAAAAAAAAAAAGATCAGAGAGAGTTCAGAAGAAATGTGATGAGATGAAAAGGGATGCCAAAGTCAGCAGTCTTCTCAAGGAGCAGGACCAGCGGGCAAACTTTTTTTGTTCATCACTTCAAAACCAGGTGGCTCTGTGCTCAAGGGCAAGGAGCTGGCATTCTGTCTAAGGAAAATCAAGGCCCAGAAAGGCAAAGGCATCCTCTTCCCTCCTATCTTAGCTCGTGTAATAAAGGTGTTTACTCAAGAAAAAGGGAGGGGTGGGTTAGCTGGTTTGGCTCAGTGGATAGACTGAAGGGTCCCGTGTTCGATTCCATTCAAGGTGGACAGACCAAAACAAATACCCTCAGCATGAATATTGTGAAAGTTCAAAATAAGTAATATATGGGAAATGTTTTCAGAGCGCTTCAACAAGGGCAAATAGTGGAGTTAGGTAAAGATGGCTCTTCTTCATTCTTCATGAAGATCAAACCTTTAAAAGTTGGGGAGTGTCATAAGTATTTTAAACTATTCCTGGTAACAACTTTCCATTTAATGAAGTATTGCAGGTGCTCTAAAATTCAGAAAACTTTGGATTGTTTTCTCTCCGTCAGATTATTGTACATCTAATCTGCTTTACTCTTTGAATTTCACAACGTACAAATTGGAGATGTATTCCTCTGGAGATACATTTAGAACAAATAAAAACAATGGATAATACTGTGACATCATATGTTTCTCTTTCCTAAAAAATGGTTAGCCTGAATGAAGTGCTGTTGGGTGTTAAGGAAAACATTCCTTTATAGGGTAGGAAGTCGGACAAAATTAGTTTCCACAGGGTTGACCAGGATAGGGGGCATGTCAGTGATTGAACCTACCTCAATAACCCCAGTGGAAATATCAGCAATTTATGTTTTACCAACAAAAACCAGTCTGTTACTCTGAAAATACCACCTTTCAGTCCTTTATGCCACTATCAGGGTTCATCTTACAAAGAGTGTCCATTTTATTCATTGTCTGAAACGAAAAAAAAAAAAAATTTGCCCATGAAATCATTTAATTATTACTTCAAATTCTAGTGTCAACCCCCAAAATAGAACTTCCTGGGGTATAATCTTATACCAGCAAACTCCAGCTTCATTGATAACATTATTACCCTCAGGAAAGAAAAAAAAATGCATTCCTAATTCTATCGATATCTACCTTTGAGGGGAGTTGGCATCCCTCTAAATGAGCACCTGGAGTTAAATTCCCCTAAACAGAAGGCAACGTCCAACCATTTGAATTTCATAGAGACACCTAGATCATGCATTGTACCCCAGGTTGGACAAAGTAAAGCATTTCTCTTGACACAAGGGCCCTGGATGGAGATTGTAATGTGAAGTTTAATGTGTAAATCAGTCACTAACTGTATTTTAATTATATTTTTTATCTGCCACTATAGTCTTCAGATGAGGACACTGTTCATATTGCCCTGTCAATGTCATAAAGAGCATAGACTTGAGGAAGATAATTGTTTTTATTTTCCTAGGTGACTGAAGCAATATTTTATTGAATTAATGGAAATTCAACAAAACACCACAAACCAAGAACTTTGGAAAATGAAGCCTAGGAGAAGTCTAGAAGATGATGATTATTTGGTAAAATAATAATTAAAATCCATAAACATAACTCAAATGCTATTCGATATCTCATGGTGCTGTAAAAGTGATTTTTCACCCTCGCCTACTGATTCCTTCACTGATTCATGTCACTGACACTGTGATGGGTGCAGGCCAGGGACATATAGGAGAGAAATTGTACCTGGACTGGCTGCCTTGCACTTAGCTGAATAGCCTTGAATGAGTCACTGAAAATCCTGGGTCCTGGTCTATCTGCAAAGTGAGAGAGTTAGACCATATCATCTCCCTTCCAATGTTTTCTAACATTCAGTGAGTCTAAGTGTTTCAAAAGAATCGCCAGTGCGCCCATATGGCAGTTGTGCAAGCATGCATTTTTAATGGGCACCAGGGCAGCTTACCGAGAGATCATCAAGTTAATTAATGATTCACTGTTTAACCAAATGCATTCAATTTTAGAATAAGAACCACTGGTCCCACTTTTCCCCACCTCAAGATAAAATGTTTCTGACTACGTTATATCAGCTGGAAAACTGACGGAAACCTTTTGTTTTAAACTCTTTTTTACCTTACTAAATGATCTCAGCTGCAGTTTTAACAGAAATTAAAATAATTAATTGCCTTAATTATTTTAATAAGAAAAATAATTAAGATATTATAAGCACATGCTCTATAAAATAATTGTACAAGAAATGAAATCATTTTTATTTTTCAAGATAACTGCCCTACTTCCTGTTCCATAACTCCTCACCCTGAACCAGAAAATTGGTCTCAGTTGACTGTACTTAGATTATTTTAATATGAAGAGATGACAGATGCTATAGCCTGCTCAACTCCCTTCTAAGTGGAATAACTGGAAAAGACATTGATATAACAGTGATTTATGACAGGAAGTAAAAGTCAAATGATGAGAGGTCATTTTTAAACACCAAAAATTATAGAGAACTATGTGAAATAAAGTTACCATGAATAACATGAGGAGATGAGAGCAAGTTAATCACTAACTTTCAAGAATTAAAATGCTATGGTTCTACATATAGAGCTTTAAGAAATGAGTAATACATATTGGGTGAAAAAGTAAATTTATTCAAACCAATGTTACCCTGATATATTTAATTTTTTAAAAGAATGAATTGTTAGCACATTCCTTATGAGTACTCTCATATGTTGAGTTGATTGGCTTATGCAATTTAAAAATTACAATAATTAGCCCTAACTGGTTTGGCTCAGTGGATAGAGCATCTGTCTGTGGACTGGAGGGTCCCAGGTTCGATTCCAGTCAAGGGCATGTACCTTGGTTGTGGGCACATCCCCAGTAGGCAGGAGGTAGCTGATGGATGTTTCTCTCTCATTGATGTTTCTAACTCTCTATCCCTCTCTCTTCTGCTCTGTAAAAAAATCAATAAAAATATATTTTAAAAATTACAAAAAAAAAAAAAAAAAAAAAAAAAAGTAAATTTATTCATAAAGTAACACAATAAAGAAACACTGATATAATTTCTCACTTTGAGTTTTGTGGGTTTTTTTTTTTAATTTGCTGATATCTCAGTCAGTTGTGGAAATGAGAGAGTATTCAATGTAACCTTCTTTGGAATTGTTAACTAACTAGAAATACAACTGAGGAAAGAAGTATAATTTTCTCAGGAAATAGATAATCCCTAGGGGATTTAACTACTTATATAGCCTCTGTACTTCTAATAGACTGTTTGCCTGTCATTACATGCACCAATGAGATAGTTTAGAAATATAAAATCAAAGTTTATAACTACTGTGATGGAAATTATAACTTTTTTCTAATAGTAATGACCATATTAGTTCTAATCTTTTGTACTTGAATTAATGAAGAATTCATTCTTCAGTTTCTTGCCAGGAGTTGCCCAGTAACCAATAAAAATATTTTAAAATACACACAACTGTTACAATTTACAACTGTTATTGTTTTTTACCAAAGATCACTGGATGTTTTTTGTTTTCAATTTTAGTTTCCCAGATGCATTATTGCATCCTTCAAGGCAGAAGCACATGGCCCAAGCCAGTGGATGGCAAACTCATTAGCCAACAGAGCCAAATATCAACAGTACAACAATTGAAACTTCTTTTGAGAGCCAAATTTTTTAAACTTAAACATCTTCTTCAAGGGCCCAAAGAACCACATGTGGCTCGCGAACCGCAGTTTGCCAACCACGAGCCTAAGCTTTAGTGGAGATATCTGAAGCATGTATTTATTTTGAAAAATAAGTAACACAAATTAATAGAGAACCCCAAAGTAGCTATCTGCACCTTTAATCAGTGCTACACAGATTATGCCATCTCTTCAGCTAAAACCAGTATCCTATAAGCAAGATTCTGAATGTCCATTTTAACTGAAAAGCGCCATAAGCAATAAATAATTTGTTTAGGGAAATCTGTTGTTTAAATTTTAAGATGTCTTATTTCTTTTCTTCATAGAATAAGAACGCAAGAGAGAACAGCATGCTGAAAAGATCTGTGCTTTTGCCCTTGGACCAAACTACCCATTTTGATGACTTTGACTGTCCCCAAAAGCTTCAGCACAGACAGGCGCTCTTCCCAGAATGGCGCTTGCCAGTTAAAGTTGCTGCTGTCCTAGCATCTCTGGCTTTTCTCTACACTCTTCTGAGGGAAGTAATTCACCCTCTTGTAACTTCCCATCAGCAGTATTTTTATAAAATTCCAATCCTGGTCATCAACAAAGTCTTGCCAATGGTTTCCATCACCCTCTTGGCCCTGGTGTATTTGCCAGGTGTGATAGCAGCAGCTGTCCAGCTTCATAATGGAACCAAGTACAAGAAATTTCCACTTTGGTTGGATAGGTGGATGTTAACAAGAAAGCAGTTTGGGCTGCTCAGTTTCTTTTTTGCCATCCTGCATGCAATTTATAGTTTATCCTATCCAATGAGGCGATCCTACAGGTACAAGTTGCTGAACTGGGCATATCAACAGGTAGGATGATGAGATCGACATACCACTAAACCAAAAAGTCTAAGTCACCTAACGGATTAACTCTTTGTCATGGTAATATCCACACCTCAAACCCCCGTTGAAACCCTGTGCTGAGAAAGTAATCAGCATTTTAACAGTGTTTTATTATCAACCCTTTATTTGGGCATGGTTGTATAGTTGTACATTGAGGAATTTATTTTAAGCTGAAAATTTAGACTGCAACTTTAACAACATAAACAAGTACTGTGTTCCTGGACACAGCCACATTTCCATTTTCTACCCCCCTCACAAGATTACTTTTAATGCTCATTTTTCTTATTCTCTATTTATTTACCACGTGTGCATGCACATTACAATTTTAACCAAAATTATCATATAAATAAAACAGTTACATCAGTGTTGCATTCAAGAATGTGATTGATAGTTCCCATGTCATTTCTTCCAGGGGAATGCAAAAATGAGTCATAAGTGTGTAGAGGACCCCAGTTATCGGGCCCTCCAGAGCAGCCAGAGTGAGTGTAGAAGGGGGTTCGTGTGTGGTAACTACGTGTTCTTTACACTCATTCCTCTTCTCACCCTTTGGTAGGTCCAACAAAAGAAAGAAGATGCCTGGATTGAGCATGATGTTTGGAGAATGGAAATTTATGTGTCTCTGGGAATTGTGGCACTTGCAATCATGGCTCTGTTGGCTGTGACATCTATTCCATCTGTGAGTGACGCTTTGACATGGAGAGAATTTCACTATATCCAGGTAAAAGATGCATAAAATGCTTCTGTTCCCTCAGAGAGGTCAATGTTTTTGTGCTTATATGATCTAGTATACTGACTTTACCCCATAAAAAATAGCAAATGGTTTGCCAGTAGCCAAGATCCTACCACTTGTTCCCATTAAAAGAGAAATATTTTTAACATTTAAAATGTATTATACAGCTATCCATCTAATAATTTTAAATGTGATATTTTAGGAGTTTAATATTTATGGGGGTTTTTACTTCCCCCAAAAAAATAAAAATATTCTTTTGCCTATCACCTAGTTTTATTCATCCCTTGTAAGTTACATAGCTTTGTACTATCCCTAAAAAAGCATCTCTCCTTGAAATATGGAGTTATATCTATCAAAGGTATTCCAATACCTAATTTTAAATGCTGCTTTTTCCAAGTTAAATTTTATGTAACTTAATTGAAGCTTCTTAATATTCTTGGAATTCAAACTATTCCAGATTTACTGAGGTTAATCTCCTAGTAGTAGATTACACCATAAAAAGAGCTATGTGCCAGAATTCACAAGGGGATTTATGTTAGACAAGATTTAAAGGACTGAAATTAATTAAGCCATAAGCACTGCCAAGATTGTTTAAATTATATAGCTTTACCTTGTATGGGTAGACATCTTTGTAAATTCCCACAAAAACAGACATTCCCTACTATCCTTTGTACATGGTCATACATATACTTTCACAAACACTTTATCAGGACATCTGATTAGGCTGAAAAGTATTTCTCCATCTGAGTCATTCCACTGTGGCTTAGAGATGGTGCCATGTTTCCCAAATGCAGTATTTGTTGATTTTGTAGGTTCAGCCTTTGGAGTTCTCTGCTCCTCATTAAATAACTTTCTTCTTACATTGCTCTGCCTGCCGCACACATGCTGAACACCACTGTTCAGATCGAATCAGGAATTCAAGCACTGAGTCCTGACTACTAAGCCCATTTCACTCACTACATACACAACGCCTACTTCATAATACACACTAGGTAAAATTAATCTTCAACAAGTCACATGTGTTTTTCAATTAATAACCTAGAAACTTCTCATTTGCAGTCCAAGAACTGATTATTCTCCAACTTATGTTGGAGATTTATATCTGAAAATAGAAACTTAACCATTTGATTGTATTCATTGGGGCTATTCACTTACTGCTCAATAATTGTGAGCTGAATTTCTCCTGGCAGGCTAATGACCATTTCCAGTAAGTGGATAGAAGTTAGAAGTTATCTAGAAGCGCTATCTTCAGGATGCTGTAAAATTTTTTAGGTGAACAACTATTTTTAAGCAACTTTATCGAGATGGTGCCAAGTATCCCAATGCTTGAATTTTTTCTCCACATCTTCATATCTTTGTTTTGTTCAAACATTGAAACAATTGTTGGTAATTTCCCACTTTATCAGAATGTTTTATTTTTTTTTTTAACATAGGCCAAGGTCATTTGTTTTAGTATTCAGATACCAAAATCAAAGTCAATCACTTTGGTTGCCTTTGCAAGTAATAAAGATCACTGAGGTCGAATTGATTTTTGCACTAATCTTCAATCAACCCACCACCCTTTGCTGAGCACCTAAAATGCACCAATCATTGTGTTGCTTCTGTAGGGGTCCTATGATGAGTTAAGAGAGGCCCTGGTTTTAGATGTCTCTTAACAGGTAGAATTAAGGCAAATGTACAAGAGACAAACCATCACAATATAAGTGTCCTAAGAGAGATGAACAAAGTGTAGAGAAAAGGAAGATGATGTGATAGAAAGGAAGACAGAAAGGAAGAGGGTTGTGAAGTTTCTTAATTTAAATAGCCTAGAGACAGAGGCATTACCCACAAGTAGGGGTAAGGTGGGGACATGTTAAAAAGAACGGGAAGGTGTGAGTGGACATTGTTAAGAAATGTAATAGGAAAACCATTACAGATGAATGAAAGAATTTCCAAGGAACAGAACAGATCCAAATTAAGTAAGATGGAAAAACTTTTGGAACCAGTCTTCACCAAGATAATTTTTTTTTCTTTTGCAGAGCAAGCTAGGAATTGTTGCCCTTCTACTGGGCACAATACATGCATTGATTTTTGCCTGGAATAAATGGGTCGATATAAAACAATTTGTGTGGTATACACCTCCAAGTTTTATGATAGCTGTTTTCCTTCCAATTGTTGTCCTGATATGTAAAGCTATACTCTTCCTGCCATGCTTGAGAAAGAAGATACTGAAGATTAGACATGGTTGGGAAGATGTCACCAAACTTAACAAGGTTGAGATGTCTTCCCAGTTGTAGAATTACTGTTTACAACATTTTGTTCAAATTTAATATATTTCATCATAAACATTTCCAATTTGTATTTGCTTAATAAAAATGACCACTGAGAGTCTTAATATATCTCTGTTTCTGAGTGATGAGTTTAAAATATGTATCTATCCTTTCAGTTGATTCAAAGCAAGAAATAAAATAATCTCAGTGCATTCTCTATGTTCAGTAAAGTTGAATAATCACATCTGATTTGCCAGACTACATAGCATTATCCTATATAATAAAAGCCTGGTATGCAAATCATCCCTTTGGGTGGTCATTCCACCAGGAGTTCAACCACTCGCCATGATGTGCGCTGACCACCAGGGGACGGCATGGAACATGGCGGGCGTCAGCGATGCAGCACTGGCAGCTGGCAGCAAAGGAGGCACTGCCAGCCTGATGGGCCCCAACAAGAGCGGGACTGCAGCAGGATGATGGAGCAGGTGAGCGGGCAGCACCAGGCCAAGGCAGGGTACCAGGAAGGGCTGTGGGGCTGGGGGAACTAGCTGGGGCCTGATCTTTGCAGGCTACCTCAAGGGACCCCACTTATGCATAAATTCATGCACCGAGCCTCTAGTAAATAATGAAAGGTCTTGAAATACCAGTACTCACTACTTATTAAAAGGTATCATGAGCCATGAAAAAAATGTATTATCTGAATCTACCACACAGGTATATACAGTGTTATGATTATTGTTAAAAGAACTTTCATTTTCCTGTAACTGGGTGTGATTCTTGGAACACCTACCTCAAAAACACATACACTATGTCTACACAAGTAAAGCAGCAGAATAGTAACATACGCAGCCAGGCAAAATAAAACCCAGGCTATCCAGGAGAAAAAGTCAGTTCCATTTTCTCTACCCACGTTATTTACCACTCAGTTTAACTTACCTTAATACACTGGCAAAAGCAGACCATGAATCAGTTCTCCAAGGAGAAAAATATACATCTACTGTCAGACTCTAACCCAACATCCTTCAGAGGTTTTTCATAATTAGCAAAACTAACCACAAACCTTCTCTGTTATATGGGTAAATTATTTATTAGGACCAATAGAGCTAATGGTACAGATTAGGAAAAACAATCAGTATATTCATTGAGTGGAGTTCAGTTTTTTATTTATTTTTGTTGTTGTTGTTCTATTACAAATAATTCACCACAAGAGAAAAAGGAATCTAGGGCTCTAGAAGTGCAAACCAGATCCAGCAAGGGGACATTACTATGGAACCACCTAAGTGGACATTTGTACCATAACTAGTACCATAATAAACCAGACCTGCGATGTAGCAGTTGAGTACCTACACTCTCAACTGCATTGCAAGATGGCAAAGTGTCAGCATCTCCAGTAGTGAGAGGAAGAAATCATGTTTCAACCTTCCTGTTACCAAGGCGTCATAGAGGCTGTAGCTTGGGAACAAGATTCCAACCTGAAGTGGCACTTGGATGAAGCTGTCCAGGACAACAGCTGGAGTCCTTTCTCTGTTAGCTATTGTAATAAACAGCAACAGGCCTGTTCTGAAACAGAATAAACCCTTTGGATAATTCCCAGGAATAAGAGAAAATAGACTTACAAAGATCTTGGAAATAAAGCACAAAACTTAGAGATTCAATTTGAAAACTAGACCATCTACTGTTTGCATCATTTCTGACTTTTTTTTTTACAATGGTTGTATAGTATTTTTATAAGCAGAAGAAAACAAAAGTCTTAAAAATATATTTTTTGCTATAAGCTTGAATTTAGTTTTACTCAATATTTATAGAATATATCCCATATACCAGTCCCAGTACTAAACAGAGGCTAGCTATAATAATAAAAGCACAATATGCTAATTAGGCTGGATAGCCAAATGACCTTCCAGGTGAAGCCAAAGCTGTAAGGGCCAAGCAAGTCACCCCAGCTGCCAGGGCCGAGCCTCTTGCACAAATTTCATGCATCGGGCCTCTAGTATCAAGATAAAAATGACCTAGTCCCTATTCACAGACAGTAAGAGAAGACAATTTTAGCACAGCAATGTATTCTAGACTTACTGATATCACTAAGAAAGAAAAAGACCAGTTCCGTTTTTAAGGGCAAAGTAAGGAAGTTTGTAAGATTAAAAAATATATATATTTGTGGTGGGTAACTATAATAATAAAAGTGTAATATGCTAATTAGACTGGACAGCTGAATAACCTTCCAGACATCATTCCAGATGTCCCGTGGTGACGGGAGCCAAGGCAGAGATGGGTAGAGGTGATCAGATAGGCAGGTGGGCAGTTAGGGGTGATCAGGCAGGTAGGCAGAGTAGTTAGGGTGATGAGGCAGGCAGAGGGAGTTAGGGGTGATCAGGCAGGCAGGCGAGCAGTTAAGAGCTAGTGTTCCCGGATTACAAGAGGGATGTCTGACTGCCAGTTTAGGCCCTATTGCACAGGGATCAGGCCTAAACCGGCAGTCAGATATCCCCCAAGGGTCCCAGATTGCAAGAGGGTGCAGGTCAGGCTGAGATCTCCCACTCCCCCATGCACAAATTTTATGCACTGGGCCTCTAGTTAAAGAATAAGTAGGAGTCATTTAGATAGAATAGAAAAATACATATTATACCATAGTGAGCAACATGGAGTTATAAAATGGTGGGATGACATGCATTGGAAGGATTAGAGTCTTAGCCACAAGAATGTGAAGGAAACACCATATTGGGCAGAGATGCAGGCCAGATAGATCAACAAAATCATTATATCTACATATATAAAAGCCAAGCAACCAGAACAGTGGAACAACTGGAACGACCAGTCACTATGAGACACACTGCAGCAGCAAACCAGCCCAATGGGGGCACAGGCCCCGCCCCCCAACCTTCTGCAGCTCCTCCCGCTGGCCGGCACTGGCCCTGATTGCTGCCCCCGAACCCTGATCAGGGGCAGGGCCAACTCTCACATCCTCTTCCCCCTCCTGGCCCAATGGGTTTGATGGAAGCCAAGGTGAAAGCAAGTTGGAAGGCTGAAAGACTATGGAGACAATGCAATGTCCCAGGACAGAAACAAATTATTAGATGGAGGTCATGGCAGAGAGTATGGATAAAACAGTAGAGCCAATACAAAATGATAGAAGAAAGAAGTTCCATGAATTCATGAACAATAGAACATGAGGAGTGAAGGAGAAAAAGGCATTTAGAAAGGAACTTCTCGGATTCTGTTAGCTTCCATGACTTAAAGAAATGGCATTAAATAGGATAGGGATTCCTAGAGAAGCAGCAGATATTTTTAACCTCAACAGATTTTTTAACAAAAACAGATGTGTGTGCTGTACGTTGTATGCTGTTTAAAATAATCTCAGTTGCTAAGGGATGCAGTGTGAGGTTTTTGTTTCAGCATGCACAAATGTAACTATGAAGGACAGTGGGAAGAAAAAGGAAGATACTTCTTTGCCCTTTTTAAAAAACAAAAATTATTAATTTTTTCAGAGAGGAAGGAAGAGGGATAGAGAGTTAGAAACATCGATGAGAGAGAAACATCGACCAGCTGCCTCCTGCACACCTCCTCCTGGGGATGTGCCCAAACCAAGGAACATGCCCTTGACCAGAATTGAACCTGGAACCCTTCAGTCCACAGGCTGACGCTCTATTCACTGAGCCAAACCGGTTAGGGCAGTTGCCCTTTAGATAAGATGATTTTTTAAAAATAAAACTTCTGATACAATTATGACAATTATGGAGGATAGTCACACAGTCTCCCAGGAACACAAAGAGCAGCCCTGAGAATAGCCACTGGCCAGGAATCAGATGCCTTCCTTCCACACACACAGCTTCGTTTTCTGCTCAAAAGAAAGTCTGCCTGGGGTTTATTTTCTTTAAGCATTTCCTCTATATGAATCTTATTATCTTTATTGTTGTTGTTAAAAAAAAAACTGTTAAAATGATGTCCTTTTTTTACTTTAATAATGAGTCACATTTAATGTTGTTTAAGACAATAAAAAAGAAATTTATGATTTTGCTCTGATTTTCAGATGGTAGCTCACATGTCTGAGGAAGCCTGTAAGAAGTTGTGGCCCATTAAGCATGGGATCTGTAAAATCTAAGCATACAAATGAATGAGAAAAATATGTAATTTTCATTGATAAAATTAAGCCTGGAATTTTCTTTCAAGAAAATGAACAAGATGTCATAGCTCCTTTTCCTAAACCGAGTCTTCAAAGTGAAAGTCAGAATTACTTTCTGACAAAGTTAGTCAGAATTCCAGTATGGATTTAATGTTAAGTTTTACTCAGTTAACTGGAAGTCCTCTTTCTTGATGCCATTTTTTCCCAGATTTTATCAAGAGACCCTTTGAAGAAGTAATAAATTATTTGATCTTCTATTTATTGAAAATAGCCCTATAATTGAATAAATCAATAAATCACTGACGTGTAACCATCACACATGTCCTGAGGCTAAAGTTCAGTACCTTCTTCTCAGCTAATTCTACTTTTTCATCTGGTCAGGCCTCACTCACATTCATGGCTGATGAGTAGGTGACAGCCCCACAATTATTATTGGATGTCCATTGGAACTGTGCCAAGAACAAGTTAGCCCTCCACACAGCTATAAATAAAATTGTCGAACTGATGAGATCTCATGAGTTTGTGAATTCCTCGCTCAAGGCATGACCCCACTGAAATGAGGCTCCCTCAACAAAATGACTGTATTTTCTAAACAACATTGAAGAGAGAGAAGAAGGGAAGGAAACATAGGTGCCAAAATTCTATTGGAGTGGAAGCTGTTGATCTTAGAAGCATTACGACTTCTGTACCTCTACTGGACCAGAGTAACCAACCCGACAAGGTCTTCTGAGAGAGAACCGGGAAGATAGTTAGGGGGTTATAATGACAATATCATAATGGCTGACCAGTGCCTGGACATATGACCTGGGCAGTGATTTCTGGCCTACCCTCATCTTAAAACATAAAGTTGCACTATCACTAGCCGATACCGGTTTGGCTCAGTGGATAGGTTTGGCCTGCGGACTCA